TAATTTTTTAGGTAATGTAGGTTTTAGGTATCCCACTTTTACATCAACATCTTTTTCACATAACCTCAAAATTTGTGTGAAAAACTCAAATATTCAAGTTTTTATTATTATTTTTTAATTCTTATGTTTCAAACACTATAATTTTTTATATAAAATATTAAGGTGCAATTTTTATTTTGACTTAAAATCGGAAAAAATCAATTTTCAATAAACTTTTTATTCTAAAAAATATTAGATAAAAAATAAACAAATAATTTTCAATGATTTTTTTTTAATATATTAGTTTTAAAAAAAAATATTGGATTAAAAGAACTAAATTTTACATTTTTTCTAAAAGATATTAGATTTTTATAAAATATCAGTAAGTCAATATTCAATAAAAGTTTTTTAGTTAATGAAAATAACCCCCTTTTGTATTAACACGTTGCTCACATAGGAGATATAACCAATGCACAACCATTTTATAGCCAAAACACACATTTTTTTTCAATATGAGTGGCTTCTATTATATCGTTTTTCCTTCTAACTTATGAAAAATGATGTAACGTTATTTTGCATTTGAGGTGATTTTTTTTTAATCCACAAGTGACTATAACCCATTAAAAATATTTTATGCTAAAAGTTATTTTTTTAATTTTTTAGGTTATGTTACAATTAAGGCGAACCATGCGAATAAATGTGCGCGCCAGCGCTGCTGCGTATGTACATATGTGGCTGTTATGAAACAATACGCATACATATATATGTATATACATAATTAACTTACTTATACAATATGACATTTAAGTTATTAGGAAGAAAAGAAAAAAAAAACACAGAAACATTAGAAAAAAATCAAATACAAGGAAAACAAAAATAACTGCCGTCACATGTCTTGCGAAGAAGTATTCGAAATGTTTAATAATAGTTTCACAGTGTATATATGTATGTATGTATGTAACCAACACATGCTGACACTAGCAACGCACGTCACAAATATCTACGCATGAACTTCACATGAAATTGTGTTTGCAGCGTTATTGAAGCAGCATATGGTGCTTAAGGAGTTATATCCACTTGCAAATAAGAGCAAAATTCGTTTTTTTCATGCATTTTGTTAAGAGAGGCATTTAATGAAATAAATAAATTAAAAAATTGTGCGTTAACGGAACTTAATGTACTTTAATAAGCGGTGAACAATTTTGAAAAACTTTTTTTTCTCTTGCGCCCGTTGTTGATCTCCAAGAAAACCTCCGAAACAGGTGTCTGGTGGTGCGGAGAGTTTTCTGCTTAAAATTGTCTAAAGTTCAAGAATCAAAGAAAAAATATATTACAATAAATCAATACTGTTAATGATGGCAGCAATGGTGAAAAAATTGATTTTTGCAAAATTGGTGGTTTCCTTAAACATATATTTTTTTGTGAAAATTTTACACTTCAGGGTGTCATAAAAACATTACAATCAAACAATTTACTGTTTCAATAATTTCATGATATTATATATATATACATGAGTCGATCGATCCAGTTTTTTTTTTTTTTTTTGAAAAATTTCGTTTTTTTTTTTCTTTTTGGTGATCTCCAAGAGAACCTCCGAAAAAAGCGTCTAGTGTTGAGGATGATTTTTCCGCTTGAAACTAAACTTGAAACTTCAATAATCAAAGAAAAAATATATTACAATAAATCAATACAGTTAATGATGGCAGAAATGGTGAAAAATTTGATTTTTGCAAAATTGGTGGTTTCGTTAAAAATATACATTTTGTGAAAATTCACTTCGAAATGTCTAAAAATCGACGTTATCATCAAAAATCTTATTACTTCAATTATTATATAGTAAAATATATAAATAATATATCTTGAAAGGTTATGTGATCGACTTCAAGTCGTTCGATGTAGCTGTTTTGGAGAAATGTTCCTCAACAACTCTGAAAACAGCGTTTCGCGAATCGTTTTGGGCTGCCCATTCTTACAAATATGCTCATATCTCCGAAACTATTTTCAAAAGCATTGATAAATTTTCGAACAATACTCTGAAATATTTGTACATTCGATAGCTATGCAAAAAATCTATGCATAAAAAAATCGATTTTTTTCAGATTCATAAGTGGATATAACCCCTTAAAAGCGAGTTGTTCTTGTAAAATGCAAGAAAAGTGTACGAAAATTTCTTAAATACTTTATAAATAGTGTGTGTTATAACGTACAGTATTTTCTATACAACGCCACCACGTTGGAAACACTAAGCTGCCAACCACTGTTGTATAGTCTTAACATAACATTGAAATGTTACTTTAACAGTTGCAAGCAAATAAATACTTTAAATAACTGCATATAAAATGTAACTTAACAAAAATGCATTTTGAGTGTTAGTAGCTAACTCGCAATGCAACACTAGTCTCACTCATGAGCTACATAACTAAAATTTGTTTTATCAGTGAAATAATTATTGCTTCGAAACATGATTTTGCTGCATTATTGTTATAATTATAATAACATAGTTCATATATGCCTTAGTTTTTAGCTATAACTTCCATTATTTGCATACTGTATAGCAGCAAAATACTGTTATATTTTGGCAGAATTACCCAAAGTCGGCGTTTACACATGCAGCTGTATGTGTGTCAAAACTAAAAGGCAGTTCTGCCGACAAGGCAACATAATAAGAACAATTAAGCGTAAAAAGTTTGTAAATTTTGCAAATATAATAAATAAAACACTTTGAAAAATATAAGGACTTAATGATTTAAAGCAGCTAACTAACATATAAACCCCAAAATACTAGTATTCCATGCAAATACAACGCATACAACAGAAATTTAACAAACAAATTATGCAACGGCAATTAATTTAAATACATACAAATGCGCTGAATACTGCAAAAACATATACACGCATACATACTTACACACTTACATATTTGACGCATATAAAGCTAGTGAAATAAATCACCTAACAAATTATATAAGAATAAAAATAAAATATTCTGTCAAKACTAAATAAATTTACATACAAACATTTACACGAACCTACACGCATACTCAATATTTATATTATATGCATGAAACCGCAAATTTTCTCTACAAAAAAATACAAATATTCAAAATGGAAAATAACTGTCACAATGCAATTAGAAACATATATAATTTAGTTCACAAGCAACATGCTGCGAACATAAAAAATGAAAGTGAACATGAACCTTTAATAATTTCCATAAAGAAGGACATAATATAGTTAATTTACATACATTTGTATATGTAATGAGTAAAAGCTTAATAAAAACATATAAACGAAGGTGTATAAACATAATGCTGCGCATAATATTAGTATTTATAACGACACTCATCGAAAAACAACAACACGTACACACTTATTAATACTATACAGTGAAGCGTAAAATAAAAACAAAAAAACAAAAAAAATATCGAAAAAATTACATACAAAAAGTTTCAGTATTTCCAATTTTTCTGAAACGTGTATTAATTTCAAGCAAAGTACAGTTATTACAATTATTTACGTACTCAAATTAGTCTTAATTCTGCATGTAAGTATGTAAGTCGGAAACTACACATGAAAACATGACAGTCCATCATGTTACATACAGACAACTTACACACAGACATTTGTTTCGTGAGAATTACATTATGTTTTTTTTTGTTACTTACACAGTTATTTAAGACCAGGGTTGCATATAATGCTATAAAAATGGTAAATTTAATTGAATTTGGAATAATTAAAGTAATATTTGAATATTTTTTTTTTACTTTGTAATGCTGAAAATCTTGATTAAATGTAATTTTC